AATAATTTACATCTATTTAACATGCGTATTAACTCTTGCATATATCTTGAATATACATTCAAAGTAATATATATTTAAAATTTTAAACAGCAGTAACCATAAAGATGTCAGAAGTAACATATTTCATATCAATCAATCATAAGAACATATTTCATTGAAATCGCTATCTCTTCGTTTTCTTAAATGCGGACAGAATTTAGTTATATTCTATATTTTAATATCTTTCATATATTCAAAGCTTCTGTTGAATATTTCTGAGATATTGGCAAAATATATCGGCAGGATATAAATCTCTATGAAGTTATTATAAACATTTAATATTACATTTAATATTAAAAAATAATTTCTCGATCGGAAATTACAACATTATTTTCTTTTGCCTCTTTTTTTAAAAAGATTAAAATATTAGAATAGCATGACGCGCGATGACGCGAATGGCAATGGCGAAGAAATATATAGAACTCGACTGCTTATGCTTTCACTTATTATAGTCGTCGTGACGGACCAGTTTGATGCTCCGTGCTGCGTAAGGAGGTTTTACGGGGGAGCAGCGAAGCAGAGAGGACTTTCCTTTCCCCGTCTATGGCAAAACAAGCCGTGCGACTACTCTCACTCTGCGCTAAATCACGCCGTGGATTCTCTCACGAAGCAAAGTCAGTTACCACCGATCAACTGTCACTGATCAATTTGAGACAGTGACGCGCGCATTTCTGGTGACAAATAATGATTTGCGCGGGCAAATTATCGTTAGTGGACGCACAGTGGACGCGAGTGGATGCGAGAAAATTCGAGTCTTCCTCTTCCCTTCGGGGAATCGAAAGTGACGGAAATGCCGCGGAACTGGCAACTCGCAATCGCATCCCCGCGGCACTTTTACATCCGATTTTCTGCCTGACTATCAGGAATCCTCTATCTTCCGTTTCTCGATGTGAAAGCGACGCAGTGATGTCACGCACTGCTCTTACCTCGCGCATTCGAAAATAGATTTGGACACGCATTATATAACGCAAAACAAATAACGTTGCATTTGCACGTCGCATTATAACGAGCGTGTTAAAATAAATAATTAGAAGGACGGCAGCCTAAGCTGCATAAATCAACCTTTTCGTTCGTGGATTTCTTCGTGAGATTTCGCATCACGAACATCAAACTTTTAACTTTTCAAATTGCGCATCAAATTGCGAACTCACGTTGCGAATGAATCTTTCTTTTACCGCATAATTTAAAATAAAAAATTGCGACAATCGGAAGGGTGATTTTTGAGATTGAAGCGATGATTAGTCGAACAACTTCACGGAAGAAGAAAAAATTTCGATGTGTCTTCCTTTGCAATTATGGGAATTATGCTTTGCAATACTACGCGTTGCTCTTCAAGTAGACAAGTGCACAAGAGGTATACAAAGTAGTTTATCGTCATCTGGGGGGGGGGGGAGTGGGGGAGAGATGGAAAGGAAGAAAAAGGAGTGGAAGGGGTTCCTTTCTCCGCAAGATGCGCGAAACAAATTTCTGTAGCAAGTCTCAGGTATGACCAGTACGATTGAAACTTTCGCAAAATACGCCTCGCAATATACTCACCGGCTGCACAGGATCACGCACTGAATCAGATATCATCTTGACAATTTTACTTATCAGTGTCATCACTTTCCTCGAATCAGATCGCTCATAGGTGGACCGTTATTTATTCATAACGCAGTGCTTCTCTTCTTTGATGTCGACATAAAGCGGACAAGATGATTGAAAACTTTCCGGATGATGCTATTATAAAAGGTCAGTTATTTTGCTTCAACGGAATGCGGTATCGCTCGATTAAATTAATAATCAGTTTCATTTAATCTTTCTGAATTTGCATATTTTGTATAAATAAAATTTAATTATAAGTCTATTTTTTTAGTGTTATTTATCTCAAATTACGAATCTTAATTTTAATAAATATTTTCTTTGATTTAAATTATATATTTCTATATATTTTTCCTCCAGGATAAAACAATACGGTTACTGTATATACTTAAAGAATATGTATTAATACAATAATAAAAAAATCAAGGATTTTCAACGTTAAAGAGCTGCAATAGAATTGCAATAACAATATTTTGCTTTCATATATATATATATATATATATATATATATATATATATATATATATATATATATATATATATATATATATATAATAAATAAATAA